CGTTCATTCACCCACCCGGAATGATAGACGATGGTGGAAATGGCCGCTTTGTGAGTCACGTCCCCATGAGAGTTGTGAGTGAAGAGGACGATGATCCGAATGAGGATGACCAGATTGTGATTGACCTGCTCCATCCACGGCAACACAACACCGTGCGTATTTCGTTTGTTTATTTGTTTGTTTGTTTTGTTTTGTACCCACATCCACATTCATTCATAAACATAAGCTGCTTTTCATTCATTTCATCCTTGTCCGAATTTCGATTATTTGAAGAAAAGCAGAGCCGATTCTGTTTATCGTTCGATATTTTTTTTCGAATTGTGTGTAATATTGAGCTGTGACTTACTGATCATCTCGACGAACGCAGGAATTTTGGCAAGATTATGAAAGATCATTTTTGAATTCGTCCATCCGTTGAAAAAAATTTTAAAATAATGCAGCTACCAATCATCCATGATACAAGACTCTCCGCTGAAAATGCTGTCAATATTATTCTGATGAGGGGTCGGAGTTCTGCTCTACAGTATTTCAAAATACAGTTGGGTCCCATGTTTCAGACAATGACTAATTCAGTAATTTTCAATGTTTTATCTGCATGGTATATATGAAGTCAAAGCTTTCCCAGACGAATTTCAAGAATCAAGAGACTATCAAACAATTTGACTTGGGGAGGTTTCAAGTTAGGGAAACAAGCACTTTTGTTGGAGAAAGAAGAACAATTTGTAGGAAATTATAATGGGTGACATTCTATAGGGACAATAAAAATATCTTCCAAAATGAGTTGACAGGATGCTGAAATTTAAAGCAAGGGTTATTCATCATCAATCTACTTTCACTTCTTTTCAAAACACATAAACTTACTTCTTTCATTGATTGTGTCTCTCCTGTGACAGTAAAATAAAAGCAAAAAGGCCTCCAGAAAAGTCGAGTTATGAAGGTTTGAGGGGGAAAAGCATTTGAGTTAGCTACATGAGGTTTTTAATGCATTGTTTCTAAGGTAATTCAGAGACAGGGACTTGAAAAAATTTAAAAAGTTGGGTATTTGAATGATTGAATAAATGAACAGAACACTTTATTTGCCGCTTTTCAGCATCAACAAGGTTCAATTAAGATTTCCACAACCAAACCCCCTTCCCACCCAACCCAAATCCACTCAATGACATATAATCACTTCAGAGCAGGAAACAGAGCACAAATTGTAAGGCCAACAGTTTATCTTGATCCTTTAAGATTCCAGAAAGCATCTCTTTATTGAATTCCAATATTTTTAAATCTTTCTTAAGCTTGTTTCTATCAGTATGAAATGCTGGACATCAGAAGAGAATGTGCTCTGGTGATGCACAAACTAATGTGTTTATGCTGCAGGAGTTACACCACTTAGACACTTTTGAAAATTGGATGAATTTTTTACTAAAGTGCCATTAATTTGTCAAAATAGCTACAGTATCATATATTAAGGGGATGTTAGATGATGCAATATTCAAAAGTCCCTGTTAGGTACTGTATTTGAATATTTAAAAGTCTGGAGACATTTCCTCCTATTAAGACTAATGTAAAACTACTTGATATATGACTGTTCCATCTGCGGCCTATTTTTTTTTTCCACGTCGGAATCTCGGGCGATTTTTTTTTAATCCATGCCCAACAGTCGAGGAGCCACTGCACACAAAATAAAATATACCCCGCATAAAAACGTTCAACAGGACCCAGTGTCAAGTCCGCCTCTCGTCAAGCTACGGTGCCGGATGGTTCTGCTGGAGTACGTCTGCGGGCAGTCGTGGGTGTTGCTGGAGCCGTGGTCGTCAGGGCCGGTGGACTGGAGAAACCCGGTCGTTGACCGGTTGTGCGAGTCCTCCTCGGGCTACGGCCAGGCAGCAGCGCCCTCGAATCAACCAGACGACGACGACAGGTACTACCAGCAGTTCAACTACGCCAGGCCGCAGGCCAACAACAACGGGTTCGTAGGGACCACGCAAACCGGGGCCGCGACTTCCGGTGATGGGAGCATGCTGGCGCAACAATCGCAACCCGGCAACCAGGGTGCTGCTGCTGCTGATTACCCATTGACTGCGCAGCAGCTGCAGTATGCCAACAGTGCTGTGGCTGCTTCCAGCAGCAATGTCCGGGCAGAGTTGCCAACTCCGCAGCCGAGAATGCATTCGCCCGGGAATAATTTGATGGGTGCTGCTGGGTCCTATCCCTCAGCTGCTGCTGCACGACGGTCCAATAAAGTTTCAAAGAAAAAAGAGTTTTAAATTGCTGACATGGAAACAAATACGCCACATCTGCATGACATGACATGACATGACATGTGATTCCCGTTTGTTTAAGACTTGTTATTATTTCAACAATGGTAACTTTTCTCACCACTTTCAAAAAATTTGGAGTTCTCTATTTTAATACTGCAATTACTTTTGCCAGATAGAAGAATCAAGATTGAATTTGACTTCCAATAAGTGGACTCAAATTCATGTTTTCACTGAACGCAGTTTTTTTTTAAATAGGAATTTGTGTAACTGGAAAATGAGGCGTGCATATTGTGTATGCTTATAGTCTTTTTTTTTAACTAAATTTTAACTTGGAATTTGAGGTGATTGTCAAATACTCGAGATTTTTTGGTACTTGAGCATAAAGTACAGCAAATGTAGAGTAAGTACTGGGTTGCTTAGATCAAAGTTGATGGTTTGTGGGTCTCCAATCAGAGATCTGCGTAGAGAAAGAATGAATAACCTCTCTTGCATTCAGTATAGAAACTTTTGGAAATTCCCCCGCACTAAATGTCCAAAGATTAGACATGCCGTTCGATTTTGGTCCCCAAAGAACTCAAATCCTTTAGGTCAAGGAAAATATCGAATAAGTGAAAATTGAATCGAATTTATTTCTTGCAGTTACAGCAGTGGGTTCGCTGGGAACAGCTACTCAAACACAGCACAATCCCAACCCCAGCAATCGCTGCAGCTCGAGGAATTCAATGACTACTCAATCAACCCGCAAGCAAATCTTCAACGTCTCAACCAGCAACAGACATCGTATCAACAAGCCTCTGCTGCATCCAACTTTTATCCCAATCAACAACAACAACAACAGCAATCAAACCCATCAGTGAATCAATATTACCAACGTCGGGAAGACGTCATGGCGTCTCCCGCCGGGGTAACCAACTACGGCGCCTCCATTCTGACGAGCGGCGACCCCGGGACGCCATCGGGCTACCAAGCCAGGTCTGCATCAGTAGGGGACTCCGGCTATAGCCAGCAAACGGGCTCCCAACAGGATCAAATGCCTGCCGGCAGCAACTCGGCCCCTCAGGGTTACCAGCCGATTTACTCGGAGCCCTATTCGGTGTCGCAGTACACGGCGATGCAATCCGGTCCTGCTGCTAACAATGCTGGCCCTCAAACGAATCAGCTAGGTTATTATCAACAGCAGCAACAGCAATATTATAACACGGGCAATAATTACAATAATTACGCAGGTTTCGGCTAGCTGAGATACTTATTTTTTTTATGAATAATGTAAAGAAAGGCGAATGCGTTACGTTTCACTTGCTCGTTCAGCCTGTGGTTTGAAGTGTCAAAAGCGTGTTTTTCCAAATGATTATATACTGTGTAGTAATTTATTCATTAGGCTTTTTTTTCTCTCTCGTCTTGTGCAGCTGATTGAGAAAGTTTTCTCAGGAATACCTTCGCGGAAGTGTGTGATATATCCTGAATAAACAAGAATTGGTTTGTTAAACCTATCGAGAAAATTTTTTTTTGCTAATATAGTGAGAGTAGTTGAGAGAATTTCACAGTACAAGGGTTCTAACAAAAGTTTTCGGAGTAGCAATGAAAACGGCTTACAGTTAAGCTGAAACACATTTTTTCTTCAGGGAAAACATATTCTTTGGCACTCAAAAAAACATCAGCCGTGTTTGACAAATTTTTTTGAATTTTTTTCATAATTCACTCTGGCAGAGTTTTGCTCTCACTCAAAAGATGAGGCCCCCTTTTTTGTTGTAGCCCAGCTTTCACCTCAGAATTTTTGAAATAAACTTGGCATTCTTTCTAAGGCCCAGCAAACAATGAGGGCATGGGAGCTGGAGGCATGATGATCATGGTGTGTTCTCCCTAGTGACACACACCATGATCATCATGCCTCCCCAGTTCCCCACACCCAGAGCTGGAAGTCCATGATGGGGACTTTGGAGACAGTGGCTAGAGGGAGCTGAGGCACCAGACCTAGAAGATGGCGGCTCCCATAAATCCTGCACATTCTTATCTGTGTTGAGTGAATTCTTGTTGTTTGCCTGAATAACTTAATTATTGAACATAAAAGTAATCAAAAGATGCTCAGTGCGTATGTTTTTAACCATGACTGTGGCCACCATACAAACTCGATTTTCCCTCTCTTTGTAATGGAGTTCCTCTGCAGATGCTTAAAAATTAAATAAGGGAAAGCACCCGTCCTTGAGTTTCTCTGGAATGGCTCTCACTGACGACTTTGTGGAAGAACTGTGCGGTTGTAGAGTGTTGGATTTGGAAGAGCTCAGCTTGAACGCGGATGATGTCCGAATATTTCTAAGAGAAGTTTCTTGTGTATCCTGCACAATTTCCAAAAACAGAAGAAGTTCAGTTCTGTGAAATCACTTCATCTGTTTCTGGAACCTTAGGTGTCAGCACTGCATGAACTGCGCATTGTGAAAGTGAGAAGAGTGAATTTAAAAATCCTGGTGTTATCAATCGCATTTCAATAATTTTGCTGAACAGTTAAAACTGTGTGTGTATGTGTATGTATTTAATCATTCTCCTGTATTTTATACCGGTCGAATTTTTGGTGGTTTTTGTCCAAACTGCATGATTTCTTTTTGTTCGTTTAAAAAAAATCGTTCATCAATCTGCAACAGAATCGCAGTACGTGTTAAGAAAAGGTAATTATTCAAGATACTGTAGAACCTCCGATAGGTAACTATCAACATTTCATGAACTTCAATACAATCAATATGTAGGAATGGAGAACGACTGGATATTTACCTGCAAAATTGAACCCGATGAAGAGAAAAATGTGGTGGCTGCTACGGATGAATGCGAGGACATCAAAGATTTTCTTTTAGTTGAAGATTCTGGAGACGTATGTACAGATAATCCCGTGACGAAGGAAGTACATAACACAACTTCACAAGGTGAATTCGATGATGAAATTGTTACTAGATTTTTAAAACTTCAACACGGCAAAAATTGTTGGGTTCAGATTTTTTAAAGCTTCTTTTACTTGATGAGTTGACGCTGAGTACTATTGAATTATGCCTGGGTTAATTATTTTTGGCAGTCTTTTTGCCGCCTGGTTTATTGAGAAACTCAATGAGCAATCAATGTTGATTTTCTTCTTGTAGTTGGTACGAGTACGAATGAGTGCGTATATAGGATGTCGCAAGAGTTTGGACTTGGTCAAGTTCATCCATTCCCATCAGCGACCCGAAGAAGTATTTCTGTTGTTGAAATCTGTCGACATTTTCCTGGCAAATTCTAATGACGATTGGGAATGTGCAAGATGTACAGAAGTGTTGATGCTGACCAAGAAGATAGTAGAGCAGCGTGCGTATGATGTAGAGAACTGTCCAAATGTGCGCATGATGTTGAAACATTCATTGAATGCTATTAATCAAATGTAAGCAATGAATATGGTTACACAATATTACCATCAGCAAGAGCTGTGTAATTTTTTGTTTTGTGTCTTTCCAAAAAGCTGCTGAAAACTGAACTTCGAGAGAATCAATTTTCGGATGATGAACCAGTTGCTGATTGAAATGGTTTGGCAAATGAGGACGCGGATTTGCAGGAACCAATTGACTCTCCAGCAACAATTAGTGCCTTGGCTGATCCACTGGAACTGGATACACTTAATCTATCGCATACTAGGAAAAGAAAAGTAATTCCTGATGCATTGCTGTTTCTGAACCTTCAACTATATTTGTATTTCAATGATTGAATTTTTGCTTTTCCAATGAAGGTTGATCATATCAGAGTGAAATGCCAGGATGAGATGGGCCCCTTCCCAAAATATCGTCAGATAGCAGTGGAACAACCGCAGATTAAAGCAGGAGGGCAAGTATTGCTAGCGGTAAGACTGATTTAATTGTTGATCCGTGTATATATTGCTTATATCGTTCACCTATACATGGATAAATTGTATTTTACTGTTGCAGGGAGGTGCAGGTCCATTTTCAGCCTGGACAGTAGTGGGAACACTTTTAGCAAACCATACTCTGGCCCTTACTGCTGCAAGATTGTGTCCAACCTCAGAAACTTCTGATCTTTGGGGTCTTTGTGAAGGTGATCTTCAGGGTCCTTGATCATTTTTAGCAGACCAGACTGATGATCGTACCTTTGTTGTTGCGAGATTATCTTCAGAATCTTTGCACCGTGAAGGTGATCATTGTGGTCTTTGTTCATTGCACCCTAAAGTATAACCGTATTCCATCAAATACTGCTTGCTAACAAGTAGGGAACGAACCCTAATTTTCACCCTAAAATCTGGAAGAAATCTTATCCCCCAATATGCCACGCACCCTATTTTTGGTGTTCGAAAATCGAACCTTAACGCCATGAATTTTTTTTTTCAATATCTTGTAAAAAATGTCCTGTTATCTTTGCGTGATGCACACTTGAACTTTTAACGTTCTTCGAAAATTGTATCATTGCCTCTGATTCCCGCCCCCCTCGCAATTTTGGGAAAAAAGTGTGCGCGGTGCTCAAGTGAATACAGTATTTGCGTTGTTTTGTTTATGATGTACAGTAATTAGGAACAATGTTCAATACATCACAGATTATGATTGATTTTTTATGGAAGAATACACAAATTATGTATGGGAGATTAATTTATTGAGACACAAGTAGTTGGCAGGATTTTCTCAAGAAAAAACTAATTAAATTTTTTTGTTTTGTATTCAGGTGAAGATGGTGGATCTACAAAAAGAAGACTCATTGCTGGAATCCAGGGCCTGTGCAAATATTTTGTTGTGCCTGCAAAAAATGGACTCTATCACTAAGTAAGGATTTTTTTTTCATTAGTCCCTGCAGGTTTTTCATTTGAAGAATGTTGAAGAAACTTTGTTCTAACAAGCTTTTTTTTTTAATAGCCTCTGTACAAAAAAATTTTTGACTGGATTGTGCATGGACTGTAGAATTTTTTACTTATAGTAACAAAAATCTAGAATATCCAACTTACACAGCATACAAAAATTTTTTTTTAATGGAATGATAATCTCTTTTTCGGGGAATTTAGCCTTGCAAGAAGTATGAAGCTTGTTGCTTGTTGTAGAAACTATGTAGCTTTCTTTCAAAGTTTAAGAGTGGGTTAATTTTCAAAAGTACTGTTGAGTTTTGTATGTGATCCTAATTGCACCATGTTCTTTGTTTTGCAGAAGGAAGAAAGCCAGCCCCATGGACCCACTGGACAGAAGATACACACTACATCAGGAAGAGTGGGGTTTATCATTTGCTGCCTGGACATCTTACAATTTATTGCATGTACTGTATTGGCATTTTATTGTGTTTGAGCCATTTTAAAAGTGCTAATTTCTTTAAAGTTTTAGAAAATATTCACTTTGTTCATGTGTTGGAGGCAGAGCTGTTATAGTTTCTTCAAACTCTTTATATCAATCATTTTCAAAAAAAATTGGAATCATTTAATAGCCTATAGTATTCAAAAATGTTGTTAAGAATGATAAACAGACTCCTGCTTGAAAGCTCATTAAAAATAACAGTAATGTAGACTTGTTCTGTGATTTCAGTTGCAAAAAGTGCATGTTCCAATTTATCTTGTGTCTGCTCAGTTTTTTATTGTTGTCAATTTCATGAAAAACTTGTCTTGTTTGAATGTATTTACTTTTGTTTGTAAATAAATTATACTTTTGAGGAAATGTTTGAACTTTTTACATTTATTTGGAGAGGCAATAATGAAGGGCATGATGAACATGGGCTGCCCATGATCAGGGCATGTGCAAACCCATGATGACTACATGATGATCATGGCTATTAGGATGTCCATGGGAAGCCCATGGTCATGGCATGAGGGCTTTCTGCTGTAAGGGCATGTTCATCATGCCCCCCCTGGAAAATGCCATCTCTAGTTAGGCACTAGTGGGTCATGCATGATGTCATGCCCTCATTGTTTGCTGGGGGGTTGCCTCCAGGTCATCCAAGGAGCCGTGGATTGATAGCACAATTGATAGCACACAAAAAATATTTTTTTGTGTGCCAAATAATATGTTTTCCCTGAAGAAAATTTTTTTTCAGCTCAACTGTAAGCCATTTTCATTGCTACTCCGAGAACTTTTGTTAGAACCCTGGTACCTCTCTAAAAAGGAATTTCAATCATAGAACCAATGGATTTCATGTATTTAAGAACTTAAAAGATTAGTTTAGTGTTCTATATTTTTTCCTCAATTTTCACTTCAAATTGTGGAACAATCAGAAAAATTTGAAGTTATGAATACTAAATCGAATCACATTGGCAATTTTCTGAGGAGGCTTCCAACACCATTTCTCATCAGTAACAATAGATTATGCTTTTTCAATGATGAGAAGAAAAGACTATGGAAGTCATGAAAAATCGCATTCCACAATTGATAATACAATAGCATGATACCCACCTGAGGAGAAATGTGGGAAAAGTTTTGGCCTGAATTGCAAAATTTAAAGTTTTGAATGCAGGTGACATCTTACACCAGCATTACAAGGCTGCTACAGTTTGAACCGCATGCAAACGTGAGAAATTTATTACACTCATTATAAAATGCTTACGGTACAACTTTATCAATGATTTGGTTTCAACGTACCACAGATCCTTGTAAACTAAAATAATTTAAAAGGTCAAGATTTAAAATTCTTCTTCATCGAAGAAGTGTTGGAGGAGACTTAACAAGGCTGCTGATAACTGAGTTAAACTGACTATATGTTGAATTGTAAAAAATTTTGATTCTGAAAGAAAATCGAAGGTCATGAAAAGGCATTTTACGAATGTTGAACAGCAATAAAAAATAAATTGTAAAGGGGGAAATGCCTGCTTATAATGTATTATGAAACCAGCGCCTTATATCCGAATAAATGAGCTTTTACTGCATATATTCATCAGATTTTATGTGTATACAGTACAATGTTCCATATAAAACAATCCATGCTGTGCTCGTTCCTGCGGGGAAAAAACCGTCTCTCCGATTACTGCAAATATTGTATAGGACTAGAAAACGGGAAACAACCGCCATTCAATTTTTCATGAGCTCTCAACCTGCAATTGACTTCGCTGCGAGGCCAGCACAGGGATTCCAAACTTGACGCACAATTTCGCCAAACACAATTTTGCCTCCAGCCAGTAAATACTGTATTCCCTTATTCCCGCAAAGAGTAAGAAACACACGCAGACAAGGAATAAATCAAACCCTGGCATGGTATGCACATGCAAGAGCCAAGCTAGCAGGGAATAAGCCAGAATCGAAGCAGTATGGTTAATTTTGCAGGACGTGTGTCACTCGTCATCCGCTCGATGGCCAGGAAGGTCGCATGTGAGGATGAACCCGGATGACTGCTAAAAACTGGCCCCAGTTCCACGACCTTCTCGCCCACGTTCGGATCTCGGCTAGGTTGACCTAACATATGATTTCCTGCGTATATTCAGAATATATAAAAGGCGGACTCTTTCTACAACAATCGTGTCTGAACCAATTTTCTCTATATAAGGATTTTTTTGTTGGTCCCACAAAATTATTTGACATGTTCCACACAGCTAAATTCTCTGTGCAACGCATTGTTTCTGGACCCTTGACTTTCATTAAAGATGAAAGCAAAAGAGGCCAGATAAAGGTGAACTGCAGTCCCTTGAATTTTCTTCAGAGGATTTTGCTGCAGAAAATCCCAACAAAAAAATGGAGAGAGAACACAAAAATCTATTTAGAACAATTTTTTCTGTCCTCTTGAATTTCAATGTAGATAGAACAAAATAGGCCAGAAAATGGTGGACTGCAGTCCCTTGAATTTTGTTATAGAGAGATTTGCTGTAGAAAGTAGAAAAAAAAATGGGCAGAGAACCCAAAAATCTCTCTACAACAATGTTTTCGGGTCCCTTGGATTTTATTGTAGAAAGAACACAATAAGAGACCAGAAAAGGGTGGACTTTATAATCCTTTGAATTTTGTTGCAGATAGTGCTTTGTTGTAGAGAACCCCAATAACATGGGAAGAGGGCCCTATGGGACCCCGAAACATTTTTGGAGACAAAATTGTTGTAGAGAGAGCTCACCTGTCCAAAGTGTGTCTGATGAATTTTATTTTTGAAATTCTTTGCACAGAAAATACAGTGGGGTCCCAGCACAAGGAAAATTTGACACATCGACACTTTATGCTCGGAAAAGTCTGTCTAAAAATTTGGACAATATCTCAAGATATGAACACAAGGCCAAACTTTTCAAATAAACAATAAAATTTTCATTCATCATTATATTGAAAATGTTGTGATTTCTTCAAGAGGCTGAGCTACTATAGCTATGGACATTCAGTGCCAAAAAAAATTTTTCAAATTTGAAACTTTTTTATTATGTTCTTTTAATAACTGACTACAAAAAGCCAGTGTGCAAAAGGAAAACAGTGTCCAGAACAAAAAGTGCAACAGCAACTCAGAGACTATGGTTGAGTGAGTTGGGCCATACTGAAAGTTAGCCAAGAAAAGTGTTCAGAAATTTACAATTTTTGAATATGTTGTGCATCTTGNAAAAGTGTTCAGAAATTTACAATTTTTGAATATGTTGTGCATCTTGTCAAATTATGATGGTGTGCAGAAGAAAAATTGAATCAGAAACATCAACTTTTTTGGTTTTCTCAAGCAACTTGGTGATAGTTCCCATGAGTTGGGTGCGGACTAAGCTCGCGCCCCAAGATAGGTTGGGTCTCAAAAAGTTGAGATTCACATCAAATTTACAAAATACTCTGAAAAGTTATTCATGCATGAATTTTGTGGTTCCAGTTGAACAACAGACCGTTGCTGGAGCAAAATAATATGAGCATGCATGTTTTAGTAGTTTCACTGAAGCAGTGTTCCTTCATCTGTTCTCCATGTGGCGTCTCTTACTACAAATCTGACTTGTTCCAATGGAATGCAAATTTTATAATTTGTTATACAGTATATTCATTGATAAATAAGCTTTATTTGCCACTTTTCAGCAACTCAGCATTCACAAGGCTAGAAACAACTTTTACCCATCGCCCTTTACATGCATTCATTCAAAAGAAAATTTATCACAGTACATCACAAGGCATGAATAATGGATTGGCATCAATTCGCCCTCTTTTTTGCCATCTGACAAGATTGAGAAAAAATTTCACCAATTCAACTTGTCATGTTTATGTGCGACTGAAGTACTGAACTGACCAGCAATTTCCCATGCAATTTAAAATTATGATCACCGGATTTTATCAATGCTTGCTAAAAGAAATTCGGTTCGACGGAAAGTAAAGTTTTACATTTGAAGCAAATATTGGGGCCATGGAATCCCGAAAAAAGATGCATGCATCTTGAACAAAATCACCGGACGGTATTAAAATTGGTTCGCTATCAAACCTTCCGATGTTTCGTGCTTTTCTGTAGTAGTATAAAACAATAACGAACATAATTTTTGCATTAAATTATTCATCTGGGCTTTTCGGTTTTAAAGTAAGACTGGTTCTTCATGGATTAGACAGACTCTTCAAGCAACCAATCAATCAATTCACACCAAAATCTTAATTTTATCTTCAAACGTTTCGATGATACATCTCGAGGAAACTGCACGCATTCTTCAACTTTGGTCAGAAAATTTCTCAAGAAAAAGGAAATCTCGTGATTCATAGAATAAGAAAACATCGAATTTTCCGTATCACTGTATAGGATTGTGGTCCAAATATAAAAAGTCTCATGCCGCAGGTATATAATATCAAAACAAAATATGAGCCTCACAAATTATCATTCAAAAATCCTGAGGAAATCAAGAAACCAGCTTTCAGTACAGAATCCTTAAAATTTGACCCAAAACCCCGTTATGGTATTGCGTCGACCGCCACTTGTACAAAACCTCAATCAACGCTCTTTTAACCGCTCCCATTATATTTATTGCGGTTCACTCTGAATTGATATCCGATACTAACATGAAAACTTCTATGAATAAATTATCGTCAAGCAGAGACAAATCATCATCCGCCAAAGATGCAATAAAGAAAGTTCTTCGGGATATCCGAGTATAGTATTTTATACTGTACATAACTTTATTTTGATGTTTTCAATACGTACTGTATTATAAAAATAAATATGTATCGCACAATTTTATAAAGAGGTGCGCCCCAAAATCTTAGAAGAAGACAATAAAGTGCTATCCTTCAGAGTTTAGATTAATGCTTCTCAAAAATTCTTTCGAAATTGTTCAATCCCGTTTTTAATATTTGGGAATATAGGCTGAACACCTTATGTTTTAATGGTGTGCTCACTGCTCACTGAGTGCTCAGTAATTGCCATGTGCTGTGATATTTGTTAAACTGGAAGGAATGATGGCGATTTTTTTTTTTGTATTCTGATGAAGTGCAACTTATTATTTTCATCAAGAAAATGAGCAGTGCATTATTTTTGGATGAGCAGGAATGTGTTCAACAGGTATGCGGGGAGGATGTGGTAAACATTTTCTTTACATTCTGAATGTTAAAAAGTGGCAAATGAAGCCCGTAAATCGAACAAGCAATGAATCAATCATCAGTAATTGATTGTGCTTCGCTACGCATTAGACAGGCAGCTTATCATTCTTTGTCCTGACTCCTGAAACTTCTTTTTCCCGTCTACAACTTTCAGTCAAAAGTCGACATGGACCCAAACAGTGTCGAATACCAGATGATGGTAGTGTCGAGCGATGAAGATGCGGCGTTGCATTCGGAACAAGCATTCTCATCATCATCCCTGCACGAGTTCGGCGACGGGACGCAAGCCCCGGGAGTCATTACAAGCTCGAGGCCTCGAATACGGCGACATCCATTGGACGAAAGAGGAAACACACTTCGGGTATCTTTCCTCAACTTGCCGCTAGAGGACAACAGACGCATTGCTTTCGAGGTGCGTTCATTGAAAAACTCGCTCTGCACTTCCGTATCATTAATTTGAAAATGTGTATCATTTTTTCCAAACATATTTTTATGCCTCCGGAATGATTATTGTTTGAGAAAATTACTGCTACCTAATCAGATAATTGCAAGAGTGCAAAGGAAAAGTTATTAATTTGAATTAATCATAAAAAAGGACGCGTAGGGTCAAATCGAGTCCTTATTTCGTGTCTTCGCTCGCGAAATAGGAACGTTCTCCATTATTGGGATAGCTTATTGTGTTTTGTAAAGGATCTGGGATAACGACTTCAAAGTCCAATGGGAATACTGTTGTGCAATTTTTTTTTTCATTTTTTTATTTTGGTGCAGAACTGCCGACGGAGACAAAAGTGCAACAACACAATACCGATTTAAAACTCGCTCAGTAATTGGCTTGTGCTGCGCTTCACATTATTCTTAGAAAATGATTATCAAAATTCAATATTTAGGCATGTGTATGTACACTTGAACCTCGTAGTACATACTGGCCCAAGCGTAATGTTCTTTGAACAAATAATTATTCAAATACAGTAAATCACATATGCATAGCCAAATTTCCTCATTTGTATGAAGTTACCGTCTGTACCCTTTGAATAAAAAATGTTTGTTCTATACAGCAGAAAATTCTTTAGTGCAAGGCGTTCGTGTAAAACTGTGCTGTGATTTTTCTTTTTATATCTACACGCATAGTAAATTCTTTTTGATATGCTGGAATGTGTTGAATGGATGTGTGAGTGCACATCCATATTTTTAAACTTGTGAACACCGACAATTGTCAATCAGTCGAACATGCAAGTGTTTCAGCATATGGACGCAACTTTAGAAGTAATTAGAGTACATTTAAATCTTGGGGACCCGTGCATGTACTTCGTTCAATTTCGAAACAGGTATGTCGTTATAGCAATTAGTTATCCAGCCACGTGATTTATCCACGTTTATCCGCCATAAAAAAATGATTCCAAAGGTGACTCGAAGGATATGTATAAGGAATATAATTTCACGAGCCTCTGCGCTGGAATTGTGCACTTACTGAAATCGGGGGTTCGCAGTGATGGAGGTGGAGGATATATAGAAACGTGCGTCATGCGCATCATGCAAAAAAGATGATCGCGTGGCCGAAGCTCCGAAAAATCCGCACGTTTCCCGCGGCTCCCTGGAATAGCGCAAGTTCGAGGAGTCTTTCTTTTCCTGCTCCCTATAGCTGTCCTGTGCTCATTCAGTTGATGCCCACGTAATAATGTCTGGGAAGAATTTCCCATTCTGCACCACTGCAATTATTTTTTTTCGAGTGTATTTATATCCTGGCTCAGACACCCTGAAACCCCCTGCTCGTATGGGTGACATAAATTCAAGGGACTCGGACACATTTCGACTCGAGGTTCCAGTCTGTACAGTATAGACTGATTCAACCTGTTGGTTCTGGTGTCTTGGTCTGTTCATTAATTGTTTTTTGTGTATCCTGAACTTTATTTTAGTTTTTGACATTCTGCGGATGTCCTATACTGTAGTTCCTGCTGGAAACTTCAAATTTTAATGGAGTGAATAAGTGCTGGGATACACAGCATTTGAATCCTTCAGGTTTCGTCAGGAGACTCAGGACAGGTGTGAACTTTTTTTAAAGCACAATTTTTTTAGTTAATTCGTTTTTTTTGTGTGCCGTGAATGGTCCTTATTGCCGATGTACTGTTGGCATTTTACACATTACTAATATTAGATATGCAATTACGTTATTTAAATTAGCACTACATGCACCTTTTTTTCTCAAAATTGGAAGGGAAAAATGGGGTTTCGCCTCATGGACAAGGATCGAATTTTCAAATTTTTTTTTATTTTAGGCCGGTGAGCATCACGGCACTTGAATATGCAGAGAAATTTTTATGGGAACCTTTTACAATCGAAACATTTGAAAATTGAATTCAGGTTGAGGTCACGTTTGAATTTTAATTCTGGTGTCTTTTTTAATCTTGTTCTTCTGTCACTAAAAATGGGAGAGGGTGTGTTTTATTCGGGAATATGATGTCAGCAAAATTTCAGGGTGAAAAATTAGGGCAGGTGTCTTACTTGAGGGTGTCTGGTACTGAAGTGAATATGGTAAATTTCCCACGAAGAATTTTTTTAAGAGGTGTAATTCTTTTTTTTGTATTTATAATTAGGAAAGACTTTTGCGTTAATGTCGAAATTAATTTTTTTTCACTTGATCCGGTGCTCAAAAAAGCATGTGACGATCACATTTCATTGAAGTCTTTAATTTTATTTACCATCCACGGGTGACTTTTTTTCAAAGTTAATTTTATTTTGCGCTTCAAATCGGACATTTTTTCCGTCTTTTTCGCGAGCCGTTGTTTTTTTTTTTTTTTTTGGTCTTTTAATACAACCCACTCCAGGCCTCATTCAAATCATTAATTTTGATCCTTGAAAATCGATTCTCACATTAGGATTTAATTATCGAAAAACTCCAATCATCCGGGCGAGGATTACACATGTCCAAATTATTATTTCGCAGTGGAAGAAATTCGTCCCAGATCACTTGTAATTTCGACTTCAGTCGTCCAAATTATGTCTCACTGATTATCCAAAGGATTTAATGCTAGTTTGCGCGTTATAATTTTGCGGAACTGCTCATAATTAATTAATCATGCCATGCCATACTTTAAAATGGTTCAAATCGCGATGTCAACTAAGGTGCTTCGATAATATTTTTTAATGCGCTTGATTATGTGTGGAATGTAACCGATTCAGTATTTCGGATAATATTGCAAGTTTCAACTCATACTCTGCAATCATCATTAAAAATAAAATTGATTCTGCCAATAAAACGTTTCGGTTGCTTCAAAGTAGGACGCATATATGAACGAGGCAGCAGAAATAAACGTAATTCACCCTCGGCAGAAATGTAACTGGGTCAGTACCTCCAAAGGCACCCACATTACTATTTTTTTTCTTTCTTGACATTCTGACTTTCCGAGCAAGCATGCAGGGAACCTTCCTGCGTACATTCGATAGACCCTTTGGGCGTTCTTTCTGCAAAAACCCCCGGGTCTGGAAGGTTCTTGCTGCTGGCAGCACGCAGACATTGGATCGATGAGGGAATAAGGGCAATGCCAGGTTTTTGCCAGCTTTTGTATAGAAGAAAGGCCACATGTGTTCTCTGTATAGTGACCAGCTGCTGCTGCTGTTATTGCAAAGGCGTCGCTATACAGTATACTGCTGCTGCTTGCCGATATTATCCAACATTTTTTGGCACTCCAGGGTGGTCCTTCACTCAGCAAATCCATTCCCGAAAGTCTTCCGCATCACTCATTAAATTACGTTCCTTTCCAATTTCAAACATGCAAGATTTTTCGGATTAAAAAAGTAGTATTGAATTTACTCTATAACAGTGAACATTAAAGAAGTACGTGGAAGTGCTTATTATTCTACCAAAATATTCAAGTGCGAAGTGCAACCTTGCGAAAGAGCTGGCTTCAAAGTCGGAACATACGTATTAAAAAGGTCCATTTTCTCTGCATTTTTTTTTTCAATTTTCGACGTGTGCCAATTTGTGGGTGCATCGTTGAGAATAATGCAGATACAGTATATATGCAATGATAGAAATTATATTCCAACAATTTTTCAAGTGAAAAGTGCCACCTTAATTTCGAAAAAGCCAGCTCATTCAAAATCGGAAATAAAATTTATTAAAAAGGTTGATTTTTAGATTTTTATCCCAAATTCCGAGGAGCCATTTTGTGCGTGTATTGTGGAACATATATAAGCGTAATGCAGAAACATGCAATGATACCGATTTGATTTAAATGCTTGTTGGCGTCGTCGTAATCTCCTTGGATATACGGGAACGCGTGATATTTTCCATTTCCGGAAAAGGTACTGAGATGTTGTGACATGTTCCACTTTTGCTTCTTGGTGAGATGAACTGAATTTATTTCATAAAATTGTATGCATATAGTTTTATTAATTCCATGTTCAAGTATAATTTATCTGGATGTACAGAATTTAAGAAATTTTTAGCATATTCCCGCTAATGCCGCGCTGTTCACGCTTGCTTTTGTTTTTGCCTGTCAATTCATTATTGGTACAACTCAAAATGTCCTTATATGTTGGTTCCCCGGAAAGTTGTCCAAGTATTTCAACCTATAACATTAAGATCAGTGAACCAAGAAACTGTATTTTTCCTCCAAAATACTATAAAATTATAGTAAACACTATACAATTTGTTATAATTTAGTTCCACGTTACGAAATTGTACTGACTTTGATTCAAATATACGTGCTGTTCAAGTCCTCTCTTGAAATCATGAACGACGCGTTTTTTTTTCAAAAAAACAGTCTATGAGCTTTATTCTGGTGGTTTGTTTTCGCCCATACCATATTTGAAACAAGATCCGCAATTTTTTGGTTCACTGAAAAGATCTTATCCTTTATTCACAAATATAGAATAACAGTGAGACCCCAAGATGAAGACATAATTGGTGCATCAAAAGTGTCCTGATGTTGGGATGATGTTCCTAAGTTGAGCCTAATTTCCCCTTAGACTTCAATGCTAATGTATTCAATTGGTGCTCATCTTTGTTAAAAATTAGAAACAAGTCCCCCAAAATTTAATAAAAATTGTTTCCCTCAGCAACTTCAATTTGTAGAAAACAACAGTGCAGAACAAAACCACATAGAATCTGATCTCCAAGTATGAAAAGGAGATACAAAAGCAAAGAAAGAGAATAAGTCTTGCTAGAATTTACCCAGAAAATAGAAAAAACTGCAAAAAAGAAGCACAAAATGTCCCTACTTTTGATCATGAATCAGAGTGAATTTATCATGAAATATATTTTCAATTTTTGTGAATAAAAATACAATACCTCGATTTGTTCAGAAGATATCAAAATTTTAAAAATTAAATGCTTGATTTTTTGGGGAAATTTCAGAGAAGTGTCCCTAACTCAAGCCAATTTCTGGATGTTGGACGTGATTTTTTTTTCGCTTTCACGTGTCCCTATATATAAGTTGAATTGTCTGTATGTCGGGGTGTCCGCATGTTGGAGTCTCATTGCATACATAGTAAATAATTCCATCTTCATTTTTTCCGTTTTTGATTTCACATCCATTTGCAGACCCCGATGGGGGCAGCGAGAACGGAGCAGCAGCTGCAGCTGGACGGCGTTGCTGAGTCCGGGGTCGCCGTCGTCGCCGACCCTGTCCGACAGTGACAATGAGACAGTGACGCTGACGTGTCCCTCGTGCAAGGTGAGCGTGGACGTGAGTGGACGGGCCAGGTTCCGCCAGATCTGTCCCTACTGCGGCAACTTCTATAACGCGGCGGCTCAGACGGACCCGTCGCTGAGGACGCGTCGGGGCGCCGGTCACCAAATCGGCTTTCCTGCCATCGTGAGTGGAATCATTGAACTAGTCTATAGATGTCGAGGCACAATATAATTTAGTTTGGAGATCAGATTTTAAATTTGGTTGTAGAGGATAGGCCTGCTGGCCTGGTCTGGTTGCCTATATATACAGTACTGCATACTGTACTTTGATTACAACGGAAATAATACCAATTTTACTCAAGAACCACGTGCCCTCAAGGAAGAGTGTTAGATACGCACCTGAATTCAATTAATTGAATTCAACCTGGATTGAATCAATTTTCAGTTGTTTCCATTTCAAAACACAGTCCTGTCAACAATGTCCTACTACATTCAAGTGTGACGGCACAATTAAAAATCTGACGGTTTTTAAAAAATGTTTCCTCTCGATTTTGAGAGAGAAGAAAAGTGGTGCGCGTGGTACTCGAGTAACTTTCGGGTAAACATCCATGGGAAGAGTGAATCTCCTTTTTTTTTAAACGATGCTTTTACGATCTACACAAAAAAAAAACTTACCTTCCTGATAAGATACCCAGCACACAGCAGCAAGTTTTCCTTGAAGAATCATCAGTCGGAATTGAATGAATGACTCACATAATTGTGTCAAATATAGCGTGGAATTTTTTGGCCAAAGGTTTCAGGATGAAACTTTGTCCCATTTGATCTATACAGTACTTGGAATTTTAAAAATATTTTATATATCATCGTTGAATGAAATACGCTGACCGTTGGAGATTTGCGAAAATCAGTTCCAGGAAGAAATGCAGTGTGATCTGGGTTTTAGAAGTACAGTACTGAACAGTACACCAGCTTGAAGAGATTCACGAGAGCATGGCTTTTGATTCTGTGGTACGCGTGAAACTGGTTCGCTAGATATGGTACATTCAGGGTGCCATTACGAAGCAGGGTGCCATATTCAGGGTGCCATTATACAGATTGGTACATGAACATGCTTTATACTGTACATACAAGCGTTTTCTGTGTGAATTACGAAATTATGGATCCGAACTTGACTTATTATAATTATTTCCCTGCCTTTCCATTATTTTTCTATGCCTTAAATCTCCAAGTTGGTCAATTATACTATTGGAGTGGTTGCTCTGGTATTTGTTGTATAAACAGTATTGTAATTGATGTAACATATCGACAGGTCCGTCATTAATCAAATTCGAAGCCACGAAGAGAATTACAAAGCAGTATTTTGTCAAAACGAGTTGTACACTTGCATAAGATTTGTGATTGCAGTATAAATTTTCAATCCCTCACAAGGATAAAATTTCGAAGGATTATTGAATAGTAATTCGTGTCAAAGAAACAGATACAATGTACACGTTCTACATACATGTTTACACATGAACTTTCTATGTTTTGACTTTCGAGGCAGCTGATTGGAATTTTTCACAAAAATAAACAGATTCCTAATTTTATGTTTCTTTTCTGCAATTTTTTTTCGTTAGGACAACCAAAGGTTTTCCAGTGTTGTGGTTCAGCGGTTTGGAAGAGTCAATGGATCTCCAGGTCTCACTCACATCACTGAAGTTTATATCACTGACGGGCGAAGACATTCAGATGCGTCGCAATCATCAGATTCATTGCCTCCTCTGGTTGCCGTGAGTCTAATATACTTCTTTTGATTGTATTTCAACATTATTTATAATTGTATTACGGTCAAACTGATGTCAGGTAGCAGGAGATATTCAGTAATTTTTAAAAAATTTATAATTGATGGCGAAAAAGCAGGTCCGAATCGACCCCCGCCAGTGCCTGCTGTATACAGTACAGTACAGTATTTATATCGAAGATTTGCGTTTATTCCTTGTCATGATGACGTTTGAAATTTTCTTGGGAATCATTTGGGTGTATTTTTGTCTGAGCCTCTGTATGTAGTCGTATGTAGTCAATCATTTGCTGCATTACTGATTAATGTCGAATAATAGGCTGAATTATGCAGACGACGGTGAATGAGCGACATCTAGTTTTTGTAAGTTAACTGTTCTTGGAAATGTCGCTTGTACTTGTTCAAAGAGGCGGTTCAATATATCAGCTGAACACGTTTTTCTGTACAGTATTGTACTTGAATCGTTTCCGCTTGGTAAAATCATGAGTTCTCTTCAGTGTTTTTTTTATTTTTGCATTTCCGAAATTGTTTTTGCAACTAATTTTAACTGGGATTGATTATTATCGCTTTACGTGCTCAGTAGAAATTGCGGAAACTGGTGATTTGTTTTTCATCATTTTATGAGCCAACGAAGGAAACATTTACGCGTGCAATCAATTCAGCATTGCGAAAAAATCGCTCCTCTTCCAGTTGAAGAAGAGAAGCTGTTGATGCATTTTTGTCTTCAGCATATTTGCTAAAAATGCGAGAAAACCTTTTGTAAAATGGCGGGGTGAATTTAAATTTTAATTTTCGAACTGAGAATGCGAGACACAGATTTTGAAAGTTGGAGGCAATGTATTCATCTTCCGCAGTTTATTCATCTGAATATTTGGCAAACGTTTTCAGAAATGTCACACTTTTTATAGATCTGTCTAGTGTAGCCTCATGAAAAGATTAATTCATCAACGCCAGAATCGACGAATAAGAGTTTTTTTTCGAACCATCCCAGTTCCGTACACAAGCCTGAATCTCTAAACATAGCAACACAAATTCGATGTGTCTTTTTTAGCTTCGAAAGTAAAAGATTTATGTTCTGCCCTATCGTGGAATCATGCTGTGTAGCGATACGGTTTCAATAACAAAGTCGTTCACCTTTCCACGCATAAAATGTCAACAATATGCAGAACTGCTGTGCAACTCTCACTGTTTTTTTATTGCTCTTTTTTTCTGTCCGCCTTGACCAAAAACCTTGACCTGCCATTTTTCTTTCTGGGAAGTGTTTTTTTTTTGCGGATCCGCGTCGATTCTTGCCGACGCTGTTGGGTTCGAGAGATCGGGTTTGCGGTCGCTGCGCCGAACGAGCATCCCCATAGCAACCCGTGGGTCCCAAAAATCGCAAAACCCGATAAAGCACCTTACTGCCGGCATTTCCTGGAAAGAAAGACATGTGGAGAGAGAGAAAAAATAGGAAAATGTCCCTTGGTGTGCAGAGTTATTTTCAGTGTGCAGTGTTTATTTCTTGCGAATTCAAGTTCGAATTACACCTGATACGAAGAAAAGCTTTAACCCAAGTTTCGGAAATATAACCTGATCGATTATTTCGGAGTAAAGCTATTTTGAGAAACTACTCTACAGCAGTCAATCGCTGTTCCAAAAATAGCCACGCGCAAGAATAGTTGACTATATAGAATGAATTTCTTAATTTTATTGATGACTCTTTGGAATGATGATTGTTCATTACGTTTTATTTCACCTGGAATATTTGAAATTTATTCGAAATTGTTTGGTCTCCATAAATGTTGAGGAACCAATTTTAGGAATTATGCCTATATCTATGCCTGCTGCTGTACAGTATACCACGTTTTTTTCATTTAAATGATCTAAAACGTATCAGGTCAATTTAAAATAATTAGGATTAAATCAGTTACCAGCTGGCAAGATTGCGAATGAATGATTCTATGCCGAAGATTTTATTGAATCTGGTTAACTTCCACAACAACAAAAAACTCACACTTCAGAAATTGATGAATCGTGAAAAAAGAACGTCCATTAAGCAGGTTGATTCCAACATCGTTTCTCTCTTCTTTTTTTTAATGGTATGAATGAATAAACAGAACACTTTCTTTGCCGCTTTTCAGTGTTCACAAGGTTCAATCAAGATTTCCACAACCAAACACCAATTACATCTGCGTCTCAGGGATCCACTGTGTATTCCACTCAAAGGAAGGAAGTAAATCAAGCTGTTGTCTGTTTCAATGTTGAAACAATTNATCCACTCAATGACATTTAATCACTTCAGAGCAGGAAACAGAGCACAAATTGATGACAAAAATAAAAGAAAGTACAATCCATGAAATACAACTGGACATCTAACATGTATGCATACATCCATTCATTCCCTGACAATCAAAACAAACAAAAAGGTAAATATTAATTTAAAACACAAGGTCTTCAGCTTGTTTCTGTATGAGGTTCAGTTGAATGAACAAATTAGAGAGAATCTTTGACGGGTACATTTCTCCTTTGCAGAAAAATCATGTACCCAATGATTCACTCAGATAGGAAATGATGAAGCGTAGAGATGAATTTATTGTTTTGTTTGTTGGAAATTCTCCAGAGAAGCTCTAAATTTTAACAAGAAGGTTTCGAATCCAAGAAATGAATACACTTTAGCTTGGGAGCTTTTCTTGGCCATTATGCACGTACACCTGATTATACAATACAGTCAACCCCCATCTAACGGACTTGATTTGTGCAAGGGATGAGTCTGTTAGACAAAAAGTCCTTTACACAAATTCAATTACATAAAAAATTAAAAATTTCAATTTTCAACACTAATTTTAAACCAAAAGAAGTCCGTTTGGTGGATTTTGTCTGTTGGGTGGGAGGAAAAACTGCTTGCAGAGCTGGTCTGTTTGGCAAAAATCCCTTACATGGGAGGTCTGTTAGGCAGGGGGCCACTGTACTTGTAGAGTCCCATGAAAGATGAATAAAGTTTGAATATGCTACAGTATTCTCGTTTATTCAAGTATGGAATGACCCAGATGGACTTGACCATGGTCAACTTATGTCAATTTTCACAATGATATTGTATAAGACAGCTTACAGTGCATCAAGATACGTATAGTCTCAATTTCAATAATATAAACAGAAAAATTAAGCTCGAGAATTACGCAGACATATGTACAAATTTTGAAAGTGCTGATCTCAAAATTTCGGTAAAATTAAAATAAAAGAATTCAAATAATCAGTGTGCTGGATTACTTCGTTGGTAGGCCGAAAGAATTTGAAATGCGACACCTGCATTAAAATAAAATTTCGGACCAGATAAAAAATATCGAAGCTCATTCGCCGGCCCATTTGCAAGGTCAACTAATTTTTCTCTCATGACCCAAGCTATGAAAAAATATACAAGCAACCTTTCAATCGATTCGGATCGATTACTCCAACAAATAAACCCAGTTCGCCGGAAAGTTACCTTCCCTGCCATAAAATTAAGTGCAGACGTCGTCGGTAATTCCAGCTTTGGACCACGTCGAGCTGTCTTAAATATGTAAATGTTGGACATGGAAAGAAAAATCATGCAAGAAACCGACAGTAACATAAAGTGAATTACGTGTACACGGAAAGAAAAGAACGGAGGCACATGATTATCGAGTTTTGCTCGTAACCTGCAATCGCATGGCGTAAAAGGTGTCCTCGTCAAGACAATCATGACAAGCTGGGAACGCAGAAAATTTCCCATCATCATCAGGAAATAAACGTATTCTTTTACGGTATTTGGAAAATCAACACATAATTTTGGAAACTTACTTAAAAATTAGGAAATGGTGAGATTATTTCAATACATGTCAGGGTAATTCATGAACTCTTCTAGAGCGACGACTGAATTTTTTTTCAAGTCATCCAATTTTCTTATCTTGAACTGATATTTTTCTGCAGTGGAGCATTTTGCAGATCCACACAATTTTGAAAACCTCCGATTAAATTAGGACGCAGTGAAATTATTATTGTTCAGGTACGTTAAGATAATTGAGCAATGACCATCTTCCAAAAGGGATGTCCTCTCCTCACGTCCCAAATAATAAACCCCTCAAATCCTTTCCGTTGAGTACCTTTAGTCACCTAAAATTACTTCCAGTGTAAATATATTGGCCATGAGCATTTGCATCATAATTTTGTGAATACATGAATAACGCAACTTTGATAGGAACACCTGATACCCAAAGGGCTACACGCTTCCGCGCGGATCACCTTCTTGCTGCTGTTCTGGAGGACCTTAAAAATTTTACAACTGAATATTTCAAGGCCTGTTTCAACACATGGATCAAAAAGTGCTGAGAAGTGTGTGCAAATAGGTGGTAGGTTATGAGATGACATTGAGAAGGTGTCTTCCTATCCTCTTGGAACTATTGTCAAATGAGAAAAAAAAAAAGAAATTTTAATCCCTGGTATTTGGGCGGCCATTTTCGAGTCCGCGCCAAAACGAGTCCAGGGCGGAAGCGTGTAGTCCCTCGTATATACTCGTATTTATTCTTGTGCTGACTGTTATTGAACTCCTTTCAACTTTAAAAACTTGACCAAGAAGTTCATGGTCTGAAACTGCGTTCAAACATGCGCATGATGCATGTATTGTGTGAGAGATAAGGGGTCAATATACGCGTAGCTGTTTGCCTCTTTTTTGTTTAGCCACCTGCTGGGGTCAAAAGTGGGGGAGAAATTCGGCCTGATGAACGACCCACACGAACACAGCCATATAAGACTGCTGGTCATGGCTGCATGTGTGTACCCTGCTTGTGTAGGGTATATCGCACCCCTGCCTGTCTGGCCAGTACACGTGAGCGACTCGCAAGGTGTTGTCGGATATAGTGTAAAATATGCAGTGCTCATTTTCTTGAACCTGGAATATTCATTTTGCTGTGTATAGGCCTTAAACAGCGAATTTTCAACTCGAATTTAAACCGAAAATATACACAGATACATTTCCTCTCTCTTCTCTCTCTCTCTTTCTCTTTCTCTCTCGGCCTCTGAAACGAAACTCAAGGAACTAGAAAAAGAATGTTTATAGAGAGAATTTCGTTGTTGAGATATGTTAAACAGGTGGACTTTCTCTCGCTACAAAGTAGTTCTCTCTATGACGATTTTATAATGTAACAATTTTCTTTGGGTCCCAAAGGGCTTTCTTTCTGTGTTACAGAGGTCCTAAACATTTCTACAACGAAAATCTCTGCATAATTGTTTATGGTTCCTTGTATGTCGTTGTAGAGACAGTCCACCTTGGATGGGGGTTCTCTACAACAAAACTCAAGCTATAAAGAGAATTTTGTAGTAGGAAACCCTTGTACAGTATAACATGGATAGGGAATCATATGGGACCAAAAAAAAATTCGTTGTGCAGAGAAAATCGTTTTAGACATGCTAGTTGGGAGAGTCCACCTTTATACAGTGAAATCTCGCTACAATGAATATTCTGGGATCATGAAAAAAGCTGAGTAATAAAAATAAATTCCTTATGAAGTGATTTGAATAGAATTTTATTTTTTGGTGGGGACCTGAAAAGTGAATTTGTTGTAACTACAGTAAAATAATTCGTGATGACATTCGTTGTACACTGTAAATTATACTGCTTTCAGCATTTCCTTGGAAGATCTGTTCGATATTTTTCTCTGCGGAAATGAACAAGGGATCATTTTCGAGGTGATCCGTTCTTTGCAGAGGATCCCTGCATTCGTGAATTGACGTGGGCTTCAAAATTTCGTGACGAACATTTTAAAAGTTGAAAGTATCATTTTGAGAAAGACGAAAACTGAAGGTTTAGACAACTGATGACCAGTGATGGAAAGATAACCAAGTAATGTTGTATATACAGTATTATGTTTAATTGATTATCCATCTTCAGGTGGGAAAAGTAAAATAATTGGGTGACTGTGTCATTACGGATAGGATTTCTTTTGGTACTCTAAATTTTGTGCTGTGACTTCGTTTACTAAAGCAGTGTCGGAAAATGTATTGCAGCAGTGTCTTTGTGGACTTGTAGAATCACTGGTTCTTCTAATTTGCAAATAAACTCCGTAATGACTAAAATTTCTAAAACAAATCTCTGAAAAGAATGTTTGAGCTTTTTTCTCCGAAGCTTCAATGATTTATGAAGACAATAAAAATAAAATGTCATCATTTTCGACCAAGCTTTCACCTTTTAAACACGAGGTTTACATCATCGAAAAAAAACATTTAATTTTCCAGAAATAACCGTGAGCGATCAAATTTGACCTCGATTCAATTGCTTTCAACAACTCCAGTAAGCTGTGAGTTTCATTTTATTTTTTTTCCCCTGAAAAGTATACATCATTCCATCACTTTCAAAGGGGAAAAATTCGTAGAGAATAGTGTGTTGTGGATTATTCAGTTCAGCTGCGTGCCATGCACGTTGAGAGCTCATATATTTCTTTATCAGTTGATCGATTGCTTCACGAAACACTGCTGACAATAATCGATTGCTTATAATAAAACAGTAAAGCAACTAGGGATTATATGGTGCACCTCATTCAAGTACTGAGTCAACTCATGACCTCTGAATATCTGTAAATGTCAATGAAGAATCATCAAATTCAAGAATTCGCCCATTTCACGGCTACCTCGGACGTAAATACTTGTCATATAGAATAGGATCTCTTAAGGTTTTATTTTCTATCAAACTGTGGTACAATTATAAAAGTTTCCTCTTTTTTTTTAGTTTACGGGGATTTTATTATTCGGTCATCCAACAGAGACGCTCGGTATGGAAATAAAAGGCCATAAAAGGTCTTTTATCTAATTTTTCATGAATACGTTGGTTTTCAATTTAAAACTGAAATGAGTTCAATTATGTGTCCTGGAACTGCTGGACTCTTTGTCATATGTAATGAAATACATATAAGATATTCTTATTTTGACAATCTATGGATTCTAAGGAGAAAAGATGCATTCACGGGCATTTCAATTTTCCAGTCAAGTGTCGGTTGCCCTGAAATGTCAATTTATTAACAAGAAATTTCTGGTTACTAAACAAGAAAATGTTTGGAAAAATCCCAAAGGTTTTTGCAATTGTTTCAACATTGAAACAGACAACAGCTTGATTTACTTCCTTCCTTTGAGTGGAATACACAGTGGATCCCTGAGACGCAGATGTAATTGGTGTTTGAGACTTGTCCATATATGTCGGAGCATCCATTCGTCACTCACATTTTCCCATAGACTTCAATATGAAAAATTGTATAAATATGGTTGTCTTTTTTTTTATCAAAAATTAGAAATAAGTCCCAAAAAATTTAATAACAGTTTTCCCTCTACTTGATGATACAGAAAATGACTGTGTAAAAGAAAACCACATCAAATCTGATCTTTTGGCATTGAAAGGAGCTCAAAAAGCAAAAAATAAACAAAGTCTATAGCAATACTGTACTCTGAACAAAGGATGATAAAACTCTATTGAAAGTAGCACAAAATTAGACTGTTTTTGTGTATGAATTAGAATAATTTTGTACAGGCAGTACCATAATTTGTCTGTCCTGCAATTTGATGGTTAAATTTGCTGGAAATTGACTCGTGATTTGGCCTTTGCCCCACAATTTGTCGCATGGAGATGCAAAATGTCAAAAGTGTTGTAAAAAAAACATTGCATTTGACATTGCCTCACAATTTGACTGCTTCACAATTGGACCTTAATTTAGTAAGAGATCCAATTGCTGGGCACCACCTATACCATGTAAAGTAAAAATAAAAAACACTTATATTTATCGAGTTAAAGTAGTCATGTACCTTTAAATATAACTGAAATATCTCCAAACTTAAAATGTTTGTTACAACCCTTTCTCAGGTAAGGAACTCTGTATGTCTGGATTGGGACAGATGTTCTCCTTTTCAAGAATTGTCCGTATGTCTGGAGGTTAATTTTAATCGCACAAAAGGAAGGGGTTTATGAGTGAATGGATCTTTTTTTTTTTTTTCGTGGTCGCCTCCACTTCCAGTCGAAGTCTCTTAGCCAATCAAATAGCTTTCTTCACGTCGCAGATCACCTCATCAGAAGAAGACTAATTTATAATGTTTACAGAGTACAGTAGTATAGACAGCCTAGTATACGAGTGGTCCCCCATGTACCGAGCCGGGTCGGTAGATGGCGACGCCAGCGGCGCCAGGCGTCACGCGGTGTACTACGCGAGACGCTTGGCCGACGACCTAAGGTAGGCTGTCGATCACCATGGTAGAGCGGCATCACCACCGCCGCCACCAGCACACACGCGATATCCGCCGCCTGGTGGCGGCCCAGCAGGCGCCGGTTCGCGTTACGCCACTGCTGATGGACAACCGGACCCGAGACAGGCCCGGGTTCCACGTTCGCGGACTCTCACGTGTCCAGTGAGCGACGAATTGCAGTTGCGCCCCAGGCGGTGTTCTTTTCCGGAAGTGTTCCTTACTATTCCGGAAAACAGCTTGCCTGCGAGTAGAACGGGTTCTGCGGCTTCCCAGGTATATAGAAAAAAACACACACACACAAGGAAAATGAAGAGATTTTTAAGGGAAATTTCCTTAGGGCTACCCCAGGATTTGGATGTACTGTAATTGGTGCTTTTGACCTTGTCCCTATGTTGGATCATCCGCCCATTGGATCATGTTTCCCCATACCCTTCAATGCTCACATATTTAATTGGTCCTCCTGTTTATCAAAAAA